CTAGCAACCGCCGCCTCTGGTCACCGCGCCGCCGACCGCTGCCTCTAGTTGTCGCCTCTGACCGCCACCTCTGGTCGCCACGCCGTCAACGACAGCCGCCTCCAAACTCACTTCCGGTCACCGAAAGATTTTTTTTTCATACATTCAAATTTAAAAAGAATGAAAAATAAAAATTAAAAAAACAACAATGTTTGGATAAATAATAATAATAATAATTCTCGGTAATATCATGTCCTACTAAATAACATTGACCCACATATTCATAGCTATACTAGTCCTTCAAGCATTAGCGTCTTCTCACACTTGTTTCTAGATTTGAATAATAGGCTCAAAATTATGATTTTTATTAATCAGAAATGTTGAAGATGAAAGTTTGTCCACCGCTCCAATTGAAAAGTTATTAGAACAACATTCTTTACGGAGAAAGTTATGTAATGTTGCACATGCTAAAAATTATTCTAAACAACATTTCAATTTAAGATTTTTTTTTCATACATTCAAATTTAAAAAGAATGAAAAATAAAAATTAAAAAAACAACAATGTTTGGATAAATAATAATAATAATAATTCTCGGTAATATCATGTCCTACTAAATAACATTGACCCACATATTCATAGCTATACTAGTCCTTCAAGCATTAGCGTCTTCTCACACTTGTTTCTAGATTTGAATAATAGGCTCAAAATTATGATTTTTATTAATCAGAAATGTTGAAGATGAAAGTTTGTCCACCGCTCCAATTGAAAAGTTATTAGAACAACATTCTTTACGGAGAAAGTTATGTAATGTTGCACATGCTAAAAATTATTCTAAACAACATTTCAAATTGTTTATAATTTATTATTTTAAATATTCTATTTATAATTTTATAAATGATTAAAAAAATATTGGGGCAGCTACCCTACTCTCTTATAACTAAATATGTTCTTGCATTTTATATCGATATTTGAGTGAAAGTGTATCTTTCATGCAATTTTATTCATTTAAAATATCTTAGAAATTCACAAACATCAATTAGGAGAAAAAAAAATATATATGAAATTTGTTACAGGTACAAAACAACTTTTTAATTTATTTTTTTTTCAATTATTCACTCGCGAAGAAATATTTTTTGTATTAAATTCTAAGATATCGCAATGTTTTGTGTTAATTTTCTTTTTTGAAATACAAAAAATCATAAATTCATAATATAAAAATATAATAAAATAAAATTTATAGTAAAAAAAAATATAAAATAATTATTGAGTCATAAAAGAAGGAGGGATAACATTAACAAACTCAAAAGACACTAAAGCATGAGAAATGTTGACAACACTATCTAAGAGTCTTTTGGATAAACCTTTCTAAAAACACTTTTAAGAGAGAGAAATAGAAAGGAAAAATAAATTAAGTTTCTCCAAAAGCTAATTTGTAAAAGTTCTTTCATTAGCTTCTTCAAAATTTTATTTTTAACTTATGTATAAGTTAGTTTTAACTTATGGAGAAACTTGTATAAACATGTCCTAGCACACTTTATTAAAGGCTCAAGGCTGAAATTAAGTTAAAAAAACAAAATTTTGAGAGTATTCTAATTTAATGAGCTCCATTTATTATTTTGTAGTTTCTAATAAATTTTGATAATAGCCAAAAAAGTATGTTAGCAAGGATACACTAGAATATTTTACTAGAGTGTGAAGGGGTATATTAGAGAGTACTCTCTGGTTCTTTACATAAAAAGCACATATCTAATTTATCAAAACCAATAAAAGTAGTTAAGATGGTTAGTTTTCATTAATAATATCATAAAATTAAATTTCATTCCAAAAATATCATTTGAATTAATGAGTTTAAATAGTGGTAGCATTAAATGACACTATCTAATTCAAGAGATAAATTTTTTCACTAATAAGTGCAACTTGTATTGTTAATGCATCTATTTTTATATGAGGGTATAAAAGAAAATTTGTAATTAATACATCTTAAAGTAAATACTTGTTTCTTACAATTTAGACAAAAATAAGATACCCATTTGTTTCTTATTTAAAGGATCCGAGGGAGTATATTACAAGCACTCCCCTGTAACAGGAATATTAGGCAAGCTAATAATTTACCTTCAATGAACCAGCTGGTAAAGTTGACTCTGCCTCCATGAACGTTTTTAATATTGCTCGTTCTGAGAAAGCTCTGCCCAAGTCTTGTGCGAGCTGATAACTCTGGAAGACAAAAGAGTTTCAAACTGTAAGACAGTGAAAAGATGGAAGGAAAAAAAAAAGAACAAAACCTGGTAGAATCCTCACTAAAATGAAGGTAGACTCTTTGCTTTCTCCAAGAGATTGACGTTCTAAAACCTCTTCAGCAAAACGTCTCAATAGGTCTCGCTCTCTTAGGTGGAACAGATCAATCTGTTTAAGTGAGAGGTAAGAAACAAATAGAAGCCTCTACATGGCTTTTCCAAATATCGACAGGTATAAAATCAAATGATTACCTGAAATTCACTGCTCCTAATGGTGGAACTAGTTAACTGGGATGGGATAATAGGCAAAGGTTTGTTCATGTGTTCTAATCCCAAACCACTGAATGGCTTATTTTTCTTCTGACATGCTACGTATTCTGCAAAGAGTGCCTTGCTAATCTGAAGTGAAATGAAGAACCCGTGAACACCCATTCGTATTGAATAAAATTGAGAGAACAGATGCCTAAATTTGGCATTAATTATTTCATGCTACTTCAAGTGTTCAAGCAATCAGGTTAACTATGCAACTAAAAATATATAAAACATAATCTTTATAATTAATGTTATATTTCATCAAATATCTCTATTAACACGTAAGAACAGATTTTGTCTCTAACTCAAAAAAAGGGCAACTCAATGCATGAGGCTCCCACTACGCAGGGTCTAGGGAGGGTAGATGTACAGTCTTAACAATGTTTCTAGTATTTGAACTTGTCACCTGAAGGTCAAAAGGTAAAAAGCATAACAATGTACCGAAGCTCACCCTCATCGTGTCTAACAAAATGATTCATATAAGTGTGACAAAGCAGTGAAAGTATACATTAAGTCATTAACTGGTACTTTTTTGCTGAAATTTCAATTAATAAACAATAAAAGTGATACTGATCAAGATTCTAACACTTGAACACAAACTCAAATACTGTATTTAGAAATCAATCAACCCAAAAGTCTTTTGATGAAGGCCCAAAGTGGATTTTATCTTCCAATAATTATTTCATAAAGTTTGAAGCATTCAAGCTTAAAGCCCCAGCTTGTATCCTTAGTTGGAATCCATATAACTATTACTTATTATCCCTACCGCTTAACAGTCAAATGTAAATAAACTAAAACAGCTTGTTAGGAACCAATTATGGCTTTGCAATCAGCTCATCATGTCTCCTAGGTTTGAATTTAAAAATGTTGTGCTTAATTATTATTATTATAATTTCATGTTCAATGGAATACTCATTTTACCTGCTGCATCAGAACATTGTTGTCCCCCTCAAATGTCGATTGCGCATCAAATTCACCCATGAATTGACCAACACGATTTTCAGATTTAATTCCTTGTCCTCCACAGGCTTCACGACATTCCTATTTCATGCATTAATAGAACCTTAGTGAAGCCAATGGCATATTATCTATCAAACCCAAGTATAATGATAGCAATACATACCTGGAGAGTATGCATATTATTCCAAGTTAAAGTAGCCTTGTAAGCACTAGAAATAATATGAATTGTCTTGTTTGACTCAGGCGTTCTATTGACATACATCATTTTGAGCTCATTTGCAGCAAAACTCATTGCATATCTGTAGATAAGAGTGATGGAATGAACATAAAAGGTACTAATCTTGGTCCATTTAAATCCACTAAACTTGGATAGTCACTTTTTATTAAATCACTATATAGTTACTCAAAACTGACAACATATATGAGTCACATGGATGTGTTTGTGTCTCACTTCTCGTGAGTGGATGATGCATGTTGCATCTAAATTAAATGCTTTATTCTGGAATATATATGGGGAAATAACCTCTGAATGTATATAAAACATAATTAATCCTGTAATATTCAGAATATTTTTAACGATTCTTAGCATTTTGGTGAGAAAAGAAAAAGGCATCTTAAATTGAGGAATATGTACTAAAGTGGCCTCAGCAAATCCTGTAATCAGAGGACTTACACCTTTGCTAGTAAAGGTAACAGACGCCGTTGATGAGTAGGGTAATCAAGCAGTAAAACTTCAGGCCCATTTGGTGTAATGGAGAATGCCTGCCTTGTCAATGCATATCTTATGGCAATGGCCAAGCTAATCTAAGCAAATAAATGGCATGATAAGGTAAGATGTCAAATTTGGTACGAGTTTGTTAAATATACACAGAAAAAAAAACAGATATGCGATCAAATCCACAAACATAGATGGTGTCACTACCTTGGATATGTAAACAGCACTGACACAAATAGTAACACGACCCCTGGTCAATGGAGCCAAGAACGCGGCAAACCTCTGGAGCAAGAATGACATACAACAAAAGATATGTGAACAAGATTTCTAATGGGAATAAAGAGCACAAGGAGACCTAAGAGTATATCATCTCTCCGAAAAAGCAAATCACCTGATCTGCATTTTTTATTGCACTCAGATATTCACCACTTGGTGAAACATCAGCCACTGAATTCAACAAATTCTCTCTGGGTATCCTCACATTATCAAACCTGAAGACAGGTGTCCAGAACTTGAGTTTACACATTTAAATAAAACTCATTTTTCAGATGCAACTTGTTTGAAAAATGCATATATTACCAGATACGGCCATTATCAACTCCATTTAAACCAGTTTTGTGACCACAATCAGCTATTCGGATGTTTGGACATATGTTTCCGTCGGAATCCCTGATTTGGACAATAAATGCGTGCACCCCTTGATTGCTTCCATTTATATGGAGCTGTGAAAAGGCTATAGTGTGTGTTGCATGCTGAGTAAAAGAATAATATAAGGTCAATATAACAAAGTTGGAGAAGGAGAAATAATTATCAAAAGAATACGAAAGAATCATTACATTTGCTGCACCACCAATCCAATACTTCTGACCCGATTCACATGGAGTATTGATTATAAATTCTCCAGTGTTCGAATCATAAGTAGCAACTGTTTCAATCCCTCGAACCTATCAAAATTAATCCAGAAAGAATTATTAAAATTCACAAAGCAAAAGCATACTAAATTACATGAGGACCTAATAATCCCAATTTATTGAGCAACCTTCACATACATTACTTCCATGGCCCAACTCAGACAAAGCAAAGCAACCCTTGATCTCATAGTTTTCAGTAGAACTCAACCACTTGTCGTGATGATGCTTGGTTCCCAGAAACTTTACAGCCCCACCCCTGAAATCCATCATTCATCTTAGAAAATAACAGTGAATTAATCACGATTCCATCTTAGAATATGAGTTTGGAATAATTCAACTCCATAAATCTAGTAACTAACTTGTAAGGTGAGAATTGTATTATACTTATATAAAATACTTTGACCAACACCCCGATGTCATCACAATGTCATCTTAAAATAAGGGTTTGGATTAATTCAAGCCCACAAAACTAGCAACCAGTTTGTAAGACGAGAGTTGTATTACATATATACACTACTTTTTTATGTCACTAGTCAATAGTCATGGATCTCCAACACACTCCAATGCTATGAACCAACTCATATTCTTAAGATGATATCAAAGTCTATCTTAGTGATTGTTGTTAGACCTATCAGACCATTGACTATCACTGCTATCACAAGTAGCATATGTCCAATCTTGCAAATTTTATGCTCAAGATGTTCACTCCTCCACATGAGCCAATGAGTGTGTAGGAGATTGTTCAATATGACTAAAATAATATATATAAGTAGAAACAATTCTCACCTCACAAAACATCTGAAGTAATCCAAAAAAAGTCTAATAGCATAACACATTCGTTAGGATAAGTTCCGATATCATACCCATCTTAAAATGTCAGTTTGGAATCTTTGGATCTAATCAACTCTAGAAAACCAAGCTATAAGATTAAGTATGTATGTCCCTGACTTGTATACAAGGCGAAATCTTCAAGACAATGAAAGAAACCACAACCTACCACAAGAAGAAATGAACGCCAAGCTTAACAGCGAGGGAGTGATCATACATCCCAATAACCTCAAATAGCGCGAGCTTCCTCAGCTCCTATGTGTACAACAATACACACAATTCCTGAATCACAACAATGGTTAGAAAACTAGGATTATTTTTTTTGGTAATGAAACTGGGACAATTATTGCTTGAAGCCTGCAACAACAAATTAACCTTAAAATGATGGGCATATATTAAGGATTTGGGATGCTTATTCTATATTTTTATCATTTAATGAAAATATGTATAGCATATTTTATTTCTTTCACAAACATACCCATTACCATGTTCACATAGAAGATCTAAATTGAGACCGCGAACTTGATATAATTTAAAAAAAAAAAAACAAATGCCTAAGGATCACATCATTTAGAAGAAATTACTTGGCCGTATCAGTGTCTTCAACCACAAGTTGCAGAGCACGTTTTATAGTAAGCCAATTGCTTTTTGACTCCTAAAATGATCACATGCACAATAAGAGTTAATTATTAAATAACAAACACATAATCTATTTGCATTTGCAACTAAACACCTAGTGTATTATACCTGCTTTTTGAATAGTCCAGCTTTCTCTAAATTGTTTAGCATTGCTATGTGCTCAAATCCATAGCTGTGGAGTAGTTCTCTCCTAAATTGGAAGTTAAAAATATACAAGAAAACACTTAGTAGTCCAAAATAAAATCTGATAGTATCTTGTACGAAAGGAAAAAATGGGAATAATATCAGTGAGTCCCAAGGATCTACATAAGTAACAAAATGAAAAATGAAACAGGATAAATATCAATGAAACATGCAAGCTTGCCTGAAGTAGTCAAAATGCTTCTTTGGCAACCCAGAATTAGTAATAGAAAATAAGATTAGAAGGCGTAGGACTGTTGTCAAAGGCTCTTGCTTATGGATCAGTTCTTCAATATAATCAAAACATCTGCATATATGAACAGCCTAAGTTTACATTATAAAAACCTCAAGTTATGGACATGCAGGCATGCAGCAAACTGTGATTGTAATGCATCAACAGCAAGTCAATTGCAGACAATGGCCCAGCAAACAATACCATTTTAATTTGATTTTGCAAATGAATCATTTGTATTCTAAGTTCATTCCTTGTCATTTGAAGTTCATCCAAAAAGTATAAGCTGCTTCACATGTATCTTAAGCTTTAAATTATATGGAGTCAAATATTATGAACACCAAATAAAGCTCAATTGTCTTTTATAACCAAAACTATAATACGACATTATGCACATACAACCAATTTTAAGTCTTAATTAACAAATTACTATTAGCAGTTCAGGATAACAGATACCTGATGCACTACCTTATTGTTTACAAGTAAAACAAAGCTTGGATTGCAGTATCCCAATGGCAATTTCCAAATGATGTCTCTGATGATACGATTCCCAAATGGCATTTTAGATTTTATTCACGTGTAAAATGCCAGTCCACAAAGTTTACTAAAATCTTGGTTTGTAAGTTTTGACAGTGAAAGTTGATATTGAATGAAATTTTGGGCATAAATGTTGGGCTCAGCTGAATGTTCCTCAAATTTTCATGGTGAACAAGAAAAGGGCACAAAATATATACCTCAAACAGAAACATTAAGTTTTCAAGTAGAAGAAGCTATAAAGCTATATGTTCCAAACAACAATACTAAACTACTAGTTCCTATCTTGGGCAATTAAATACAAGTCAATAAACGGTACTTGTTGCAAATGATCGTATGAAATTTATGTTTTATAATTACCCCCACAAAATTTTGAGGCCAGCAAGTCAAAAGCAAGGGGCTCTAGCTAGAACAAATTCCCGTTATAAACCTTAGCATTAGCCACCTCCAAAATACAGGATATCACAACCTACTCAATTCATATACATGGAGAAATTATATTAATTTAAAATATAATACCATCAAGTATACTAAACAGTCTGCATTCAAAATAAACTCACATGTCATAACTTTGGGCCTCCACAATTGTATGTTCCATGTCAAGCTGCCCTAGAAATGAAGGCTTTGATGTGAATGCTGATAGATGCTGAGCAAGATTAATGTGCCTCTGGGGAAATAATTTAAAACATATTATGATTTGATACTCATTAAGAGAATCTTGTAAATGTCTCAATGAAGTATCAAAATTACAACAAAAATGTTCTTACAGTCATCTCTGGCAATGAGTTCAGCTTTTTCACAAAGTCCTTCAACTCGGAAACTGTCTGTGTCTGGATGTCATGGAAAGCAATATATTATAAAGTCTTTACAAATCTATTTTAATTTTCCCAATTATATAAAAACTTTATAAAGTGCTTCTGAAAATTTTTCAACACAATTTATTAAAGCTGTAATTTTATTGCATCTATCAAACAAGCATCCAACTTTAAAATTACCTCTGACCATAAAGCATAGCAGCAAAACTACTTGGAAAATTTAGTGTATTATAATTTCAAAGAAATAAAAGGAAACAACAGGACATCAGTGGATTCACTGCTATTACTATCACATGAAAAGTTTGGTTACAAAAACAGATACTTTTGCAAAATTGGCAGTAAAATAAATGTCCAAGTAAAAGACCATCTACTTACAGTAGTTGTCATTTCTGTGTAGTCTTGCTTCATGGAAGTAGCTTTTTGACGTAAAATCTGCAATACTGCAGACAGCAACTAAGAAAATGGAACTACAAGAGAGCCAAAGACTTTTTTATCTATACTCCTCTCTGTGTGTGGGAGAGAGAAAGAGAGAGATTATTAAATGATAACTACGCTATAAGTGGTAAAAAATGAATCAACCTGGACAACAACTTCAAAGTTGAGATCCCGTATCTCCTTAAAAAGCTTGTCACTAACACAATCCATACAAGGAAATGTTATTTAAAGAAATACTATGAGCAAAAGGAAAATGAACAACAAAAGAAGTGTAAAGAAATGGAAAATGGATGTCTGAACTATGGCTAAAAAGAGGTTTCGGAGAAAATGGGCATCCAGAAAAGATATTTCTTTTTGCTACAGCATAACAGATAAAAGAAATTATTGTAATATAAGCGTCATTCAAGGTTTACACCCTCTAACAACTTTGATTATATGCAAACAGATATTCAAGGTACCCACTAAGCAAGAGTTTCAATTCCAACAAAACTCAAATATTGCTTAATAAAAAATCAAGTCCTTAGTACCATGTATTTACCGAATATCATGTGATACCAATAAATTGAGATTCCTTCAATCAAATTAACAAAGGAAAGAATGAAAGGGAAACCTTCTTGGAGTTGAGATCATGTTTACAACAACAATCACAATAACCCAAAACCATTATGTGAAGTTGGAAACAGGGATCAATTGATGCCAATGTGTACATTAAAATGATACTAAAAAGAGAATGCAACAAGTAGTAGTCCCTTTTGTTTTGTTTGAGTTACTTTCTGTAACATATATGCCAATGAGCTTCTTAAATGTTTATTTTTCCAAGTAGCCTAGATACTTGGTATAGCTAGTTCAACACATCTTAAGTAGTGGTATATAAATAGCACTCTTGTAAACTGTTTTGACATTAATTATCTTAGTAATACTCTTTAATGTGAATAAGACCATTTTGCTGGGTGAAAAGCACACAAGCATATTCAGAAAATTTTGTTTCTCATTCTTCCAAAATATAAAAATATATGATCTACTTCAATTAATCACGCAGAAAACCATTATGAATCAAGTCAGTATATGGGTATCAGAAAATATCTAAAAGGAGAGATAATATGAATATTTGGCAAATTACCCTACTCACTAACAGATTGAAAAGTTCCCGGCAAAGAAGAACAGATTGGAAAAGTGACAAAAAACATGATACAAACCATTCATGTAATCGTGTCATAGAAAAACAGTCTCATTGTATTGCTAACTAGATAGGGCAAGTGAAAATGTAACTTACCTTGAATTAAGTGGAACTTTAGTTTTTTTCCCTTCTTGTTGAAGACCCATAATGGATGCATCAAGCTCTACAGAGCCATTGTTGATGTGCAGAAACTGCAATTATACAAATTCAAGAAAATAAAAATAAAAATAGCTGTCATCACTTCAAACCTATTCACACATAATACAATAGTGATATTTTTGCTGAAGACCAATTCATGGTATTAGAAAAAACCCAAGTTTATAAGTAGGGAACAACCCTCACCTTACAACATGGTTTTGTAAGGTTGAGTTAGACCCAAATCCACTTTCTAAGATGGTATCAAAACTATTCTAGATCCACTCTAAAAGGGTCATCTACCATTAATACATGCACCAAGCCCAATAGTGTTTGGCATGAGAGAGTGTTTTAGAAAAAACCCAAGTTTTAGCTATCCTAGATCATTAAAAAGGATCACTCCTCATTTATCTACATACCAAGTCCAATAATGTTGGACATGAAAGCGCATATTGGAAAAAACTCAAGTTTCATACCGATTAGAGATAAGGGAAATAAAGAATTTATGAGTGGGGGGTAACCCTCACCTTACAAGTTGATTTTGTAAGGTTAAGTTAGACCCAAATCCACTTTGTAAGACATGGTACTATAACAATTCATGAAGTTTACGTATAATTCTAAAGCTACTTGACAAAATCACCGAAACATGCGTTAGAAAATCCACAACGTAATAGCTGACCGAACATGTTTTGGGGATATCCTCAAAACAAAAGCCTGATCAAATATCAAATAACAACACAACCAAATCTTTTATGCAATAGATATTCATTCATAAAAATGTAGGCTGCTTCTGTATTAACTTGCCTCATCAAGTAGCCCTTCATATGTTAATTGGGAACACAAAGGAGTAACCATGTCCACCTGCATCAAAGCATACCCAAATTCAATTACCATCATCCATGTGGAAACAACTCATATCCAAACAACTGAAATAGTAGGACCTCAAAAAGAGAATTGCAAGTTAATGTTCAAATAGAAAATTAAGAATGGATGTAACAAGAACTGGTAATGATTTGTTTAACTTCCAAATTTTCAGCTCACTTTTGGACAAAAATCTGTAATGAACAAAACTTTATGAAGTAATGAACAATAAATGAATTGGACAGGAGATGCTCTCTTTAAGCAGTAACAAACAAATTCATAAATCACACAGTACAAGGGCACCTATCATAAAATCCCCAAAGACACTAAAAATTATGAATAATAGGGATGAGATGGAAAACAGGATGTACCTCTCTATCTAAAAGGACTAGTGTATTTATCTCTGGAACAACCATCTGTACAATAGAGAAGATAATCAGAGGATTAAATGGTGTGTTTTAAATTCAATACAACTTAAAC